CCCCAAAACCCCAAAACCCCAAAACCCCTCAAAAATAACTGAATATTGGACTAAAATATCAAATAAAAATAGCCTTCTGTTGAATACTGAGATCTCTATAGTGTTAGATTTAGATTGGCTGCAATATTTATAGCTCAGTTGTGAACAATATTTGTGAATCTGAGACACTTCCTACATACATTGCTTTTACATTGACTCACTCTAACCAGGAACACTAATTTATATGCATTTCGATCGAAAGTATCAGAAATATCTAAACTATCACCTAAATTTTGTAAGAATGCAGTAATACACTATTTTTCCGAATTTTAACTATTTTAGCTGAAAAATATCCTACCAACGCTTGGATACAAATATCTCTCCGATATCCCCCACATCTTACCCTCTAGCTCATCTACCCCCCATAACCTCCTTCCCCCTATAGCCCCTTCCTCAACCACTGCCTAAGCCAGGGGCTAAATTCCCAGTCAGACTGCACCCGTACAGTTCTGGTCAGTGACTACAGCTTCTAAAGAAGTGAACGGGCGAAAGGTATTGGGCACAACTGGAGGAATAAGGGACGACGGGGTAATAGAGGCTCTGGGCTTTGAACGTGATGGTCCGAGGGAGGAAATCGGATAGGAGAGTTGCTCGATAGAAGGTTGGGAGAAGGGGGTTACTAGATGTAGGCAATTAATAGTGAAAATTAAGCAGAGGTGAAGACAGATGGGAGATTAGTCTAAAAGTTTAGGTAAGCAGTCGTTCTTACTGCTGAGATGTAGATTGAGGCTTATAGATAATATGAGAGGAGGCTTAAGTGAAGAGATAAGTTCTGGTATTACTCAGAAGGAACCAAATGGAAGTTTACCAGTTCAAGAAATCCCATCAAGTTTTGATGAGTTTTCAAATTCTCACAATACAAGCTCTGAAGAGTCCCATTTTGAAGCAAGTATGCACATAGCCCAGATATAAGAATACAATAAAGCCTCTTCAGCTCCTCTAAGTTTGACAGACAACTCTGAAGCTAGCTTTCTTTTGACTCAAGAGTCTGCAAAGGAGGCAACTAGATCCTGGAATATAAATCCACAGATATCAAAAGCAAGAAATATTGAGTTTGATGCAATTTGTTCATAAATTATTTTTATTTAAACTTTCAAATAAGAGTGTCGATAATCTTAACTATTCAGTGATGACTCCTGACTATGGTATTGATAAGCTGTAGACTTTGATAATTATCAGAGCACCTAGTCAGTTGGATATCCACAACAGGATGAAAAAATCTTTTCGAATAGAATACTGTCATGGGCTGATAGAGAACACAGCAAAGGTAAGCTTAACACAAATCAGTTGTAGACAATCCATTTGGAATAGCTGTTAATGAAGATATGGCACAGTTCAAAGGTATTATATAGAAAAGTAACTTGAATGTCCTTGATCAAGATGAGACCAAAGAGGAGAATTCAGACAATTCTTTTACTAAGAACGATGCAAGTGTAATTTCTCCAATTAAACCTAAGCAATATTCTGCTTCGGAGCATTATTCTGAAAGTTGGAGAAAATCCATGAGAAAGATGAAGGAATTGAGTAAGTTTACCAATTCAGCTTGATTTTCCCTAACCAACTTTCCTTAGCACATATTAGTTAGCAGCTAGGGTAAAGATCTAAGTGTTGTAATACTAGTATCACCAAGTTGCTTCCACAATAAATCTCTCTATTTGTTTTCTCATTGCTAACCGATACTTTTATTTTTTTTAAAGGCAACCTTAACTTATTTAGTCTGCAAACACTTGAATAGAGTATATCATAACGTAATTTTTGTATCAATACCTTAGTATCCTCCCATGGTTTCTTCTAAATTTGTACTTCTCTGAAATCATCACTAAATGTTGTAACATCTACTTTTGATATTGCCAGAGGCAGTTCTAAAATAGCTTCAGCTAGGATCCCTTACTCTGCCAAAGATTCAGGATTGCATGCAGCTACTATAATCAACAGAGTATCTCCAATCCTGCTACATAGTCTTGATTTCCCATATTACTAAAATATGCAATCAGGATCTTCGAAATGACTGCTCACAATAGTTGCTCAAAATCTAATCCTAAGTAATTTTCTCCCTAAGTGTACTGAAAACTATCACATTGTCTGTAATACTCATCTGAAGCTTTGAAAAGAGAGTATCAGCTACTCCAAATTATCATTATATTGACTTCTCCTTCAAGAGCCCAAGCTATTCCTCTGAGGTTGACTTCTGTCAAATTATGAGTAGATATATGAATAGATCACCTTCCTGAACTCCTAAAGTTGTTTAAGCCTATTTATTAGATATTTCTACAGAGAATTCAAGCAATCACGCACCCATGTTTCTTTATTAGAGTTGACTGAATTTGTAATATAGAAGAAATTCAAAGATTCAGAAACTTCCAAAGAAAGAGATATCCAGGTGCCAGCGATCAATAACCCACTAAAATATACATCTTCTCATCTGTCAGCTTTATGTGTAGCTGGAAATATCGAAAAACCTTCTAAAAAACGGATCGGTCGGAATTCCTAATGTTTTAGAAAATCGTTACTTAAGATAACAAAGCTAAGAATTTGAAGTATTCTTTGCTAAGAACTTTCCAAGAAATGTAAACTTCTTAATGATAGGAAGTCTTTATGCTACACAATTTACTCTAGGTCATCAGTTGCCTCAAGTCATGAGAATTAGTTATCTAGTCCAAAAGGAAATACATTTGCAGAATATCGAAATAAAGAAGCAGCATCTCAAAAGTCTTCTAGCATCATTCAGACATGTTGAAACTGTAGATTTTAGCAACTGTTGGTTCTTAGTTCAAAAGCTCTTGATCTCTCATCTGCTCTTAAGGGACTAGAGTCAAAGATCTCAAATTAAACCATTAATCCTTCTTAAACTTATATCCTGATTCAGTCAAGATTCCTATTTTTCACAATTTTATCAAATGGTTGGCACGTCATCTGATCTAAGAAAAAGATTGGAGAAGTGCTATTTTCATATTCCAGAACTCGCAAAAACAATTAAAGAAGATTTTAAAGAAGGGGTTGAAAACGAACTGCAAACTCTTTTGTTAGACACTTTGGATAGCAACGTGGAGCAAAATTCACCAAAGAATTTAACCACAAAATTATGAAAGAACTTGAAGGAAGATTTCTGAAAGATATTTTCAAAGAATTTACTCAAAACTATAAATATTCAGAGGAATTGGGCCCTCATAGAAATTGAACGACCTCTCCAATCCCACTCAAACTGAGTATTACTTTAATGGATTTGGGCATGCAACAGTTATTGACACAAAATTATTGGGAGTTAATTCTTATTACTTCAACCATGTCTAAGCCTATCGGGGTTTTGGGGTTTTGGGGTTTTGGGG